GGCCTCCTGCCTGGAGGAGCTGCGGCGCAAGGGTCGGTACTAGACCTGGGCTGGGCAGCCGGGGCCGGGTGGGGATGTCCAGCGGGGTCGGGAGTAGGCGTCTTGAGGATTCCTGTAGCTCGATGGAGCCTTGGGACAGAAATGGCTTGTGTGGGTACAGCGATTTACAAGTGGCAGGCGCTCCGACTAGTTGACTTCGGGTGAGAGTCGGAACGGTGGAAAGGTGTAAAGAGGCAGCATCGGGCAGAGTCAGACAGGTGCGGCTTAGGTCTCACCTAAAATCGCCTGGATTTTGTGCCAAACCGAGCCCAGCGTTTTCCTGCCACTCCGGCTCAATAAGGTGGTCCTGGGGCTTCCGCTGAGCCCACGGCAGGGTGGGGGCTCTGGCAGATGCAGCGCGTGTGCCCTAGAGGAGGAGCTGCTACCGTTCCTGGAGGTCTACGCAAAGCCGGTGTGTTGTGGTGACCGAGCAGACAGACGTTGTGAGCCCGGCCCCATGGTGTCACTAGCTGCTTAACCCCGCTCCTAGCCATCTCCCCGCCCTTAGTTTTCTCCTCTGGGAAGTTGGTGTATTTCCGCCCAGATTCAAAAGATCGGAGGGATTCAAATGAGATGGTGTATGCAAATGATTTGCAAGTGTTATGAGCACGTAGCAACAAATTGTTTATCCAAGTAGTTCTATGGTTAAATGTGTGCATCAGAGCATATAGCGCTTCCTCTCACCGTCACAACTCCCCACAGATACACTACTGTGCTTTGGCCTCTCCTGGCTCTAGGGTAAACTTCTATATGATATATATAGAGAGAAGATATAACTCAAATAACTATGGGGTTGTTAAGTTAAGCTTACATTTACATAATATAAGATAAATATCATATAGAAGTCTACCAGAGACCCAGGAAAGGGCAAGACACAATAAATGCTTATTTTCGCCTGGCATTAGGGTACCTCAATTTTAGGTACCTCAGTTCAGCACATTGACTTAATGTACCTGGCATAAAGGCTTGTGTTCTCTGCAGCTTGGCCTGTATGAGGCTTGCTCCTCTAGGGGTGGTAGAAGACACTGCAACTGATGTTTGTAGTCTTGTTTATTTCTGCTTACCCCAGCTCCTGGAGCATTTTTGGCATTGCCATCACTAAATGGGATGGTACAGACCTGGCTGGAGAAACCCTCTTGCCCAGTGCTAATAAAAATGCAAAGCTACTGATGGAAACGTCTGCTTCTGTTTTCCTGTAGGTTAGAAATGCTGCAAAGGAAGATTTTCTTTCTCTTTCCCCCTTTTTTTTCTTTATTTTGGCTACTTGATGCATAGGAGAATTTAAAGGGGACCAGTGAATAAATGATTGAACTACTGCTTGTTCACAAGGAATCACAAGGAATGTTTGTCCGTTCAAGTAAAGACTCAAATGCCTCCTATATGCAAGTGTAGAGTTGCTATCAGAAACACATCTCAGGGACTGGATTGTGTGGACTTAAATCTCAGTTCTGCTGCTTATTTACTGTGTGATCGTGGACAAGTTACATAACCTCTCTGAGCCTTGGGTTCATCATCTGCAAAATGGGAAAAATAGTACCAACCACATAGGATTGTTTTAAGATGAAATACTATGTATGAAAGGCACTTAGTACTGTACGAGGCAGATGGTAGGTGTCATATCAGTGCTAGCAGTGATAGTTATGGTCATCTGTGAGACTCTGGAGGCATATCGAAATCACAAGTATATATGAATTTCCGTATGGATGTCTGTCAGTTGCAAATATTTTATTCTTCTCAGCCTGTGACATTTTGGCCATTGATGAGTCCCTGACACCAGTCACCTTGGTCCTAGCAGAGGATGGCACCATAGTGGATGATGACGATTACTTTCTGTGTCTACCCTCCAATACTAAGTTTGTAGCATTGGCCGGCAATGAGAAATGGGTATACAACAATTCAGGTAAGAAACTGGCTGTCTGCAGAGCAGCCTATGTAGCACGACGTCCATCATGATCAATGTTACTGCACAGGCAGCTGCTTGCTGTCTGGCTGGCTGTTTAAGCATTTATGCTGCAGCCACTTACTGAGCCCCTTCTATGTGCCAGACCAAAGTGCTGAGCTCTGGGGCAAGGATGAGTGAGACACGGTTCTGGTTCTTAGAACTCACTCACAGCTTGACAGCAACAAAATGTACAGCAGGCTGGAGGCCAGCTATGTGGGTCTGAATCCTGACTCTGCCATTTACTAGCCAGGCAATGTTGGCTGAACAACCTCTCAGGACCTTTTTTTTTTTTTTTAATTGCCAGAGGGCACATGCAGTGTGGGAAAGAGAGAGGGAAAAAGGAGAAAGCAACCTCCCAGTGGTAGTCACGTCACAGTCTTCTCCATTTCTCCTATCATCAGGATTGTGGGCATGCACACACATGTGCCTGGCGTGTTTTCCAAGCCACTAAGGCCAGGATTTGAACAGTGGCTGGCCATGTGGGATCCAGCTCCCTTAACCACTAGGCCGTGAAACCATCTTCTGAGATTTATTGACATAATAATCCTAGTACCTCTCTTCTATTTGTGTAAGGATAATAAAGTACATATCAAACTGAACAGTACTGAACAGTACATATCAAACTGAACAGTACTGAACAGTACTACAGAAATTTGGGGCTAGAGAATATGCTGTAGCGAAGCTGCTCTGTGCATTATAGGATGTTAAGCAAGATCCCTAGCCTCTTCCCATGAGATGCCACTACCATCTCTCTACCAGTGGTGACAGCCAAGACGTCTCCATATATTGTCAAATGTCTCCCAGAGGGCAGAACCACATCCAGTTGGAACAACTGACGTGAAGCCTTTTTATCTTATCTGGTACACAGTAAGAGCTCAAATACTACCTGTCACTATTGTCGTCACTAGAGAGACAAAGGGGATAAACACTAATGAACAAGCATCAAAGAGCTAAAGAAGCGTCTTGAGAAAATCACCCTTCAGCAGTGACTGTACCAGTCACCCTTGTACTCAGCCCAAGGGCCAGCCAACAACTGCTGCAGCTCCTCCAGTTAAGCATGAGACCAGGCCAGCCGGCAGCATGGTGGTAAAAGCAGCTGGATCCCACATGGCTGACTGCGCAGTGAGTCCTGGACCCACTGGCTTGAAGAACATGCTGGGTGCCTATGTGTGTGTGCCCAGAATCCCAAAAAGAGGGAGAGATGGAAGGAAAGGAATTGTAACATGGAGAAGTGCTGGTGAGAATGAGTGTACCAAAACAGAATATGCCCAGAAATGCAAAATCTAATCAAATGGGAAATGTGGTAGACCCTGGGTACAAGTGGCCATGCATCAGGTGTAAGTGGCTTCTTTCCATAGAATACAGAGCAGTTTCACACAAAAATAAATGGAAGATTGAAGAAGAGGGGAAACTATGGCCTAGATGGGGATTGGCTTTCCTCCGAATCCTTGAGAAAATGAGATCCCTTTCACTGCTGGATTATTCTGAGTGGTCAATTGGAAAGATGCAGATGTCCTCCAGAGGTCTGTGTGTGTTGGCAAAAGGGGTGAAGATAGCACTTCAAGTTACTTTGCGATTGGCATTTTATCCCGTAACCAGATGGAGGGACAGCTTGGATTTCTCAAGAGTCCTTTGATATAGATGAAACAGACAGTGGAACAGGGCAGAAGTGGAAGAACGTGGCCAGGCAGTTGAAAGAAGACCTGTCCAGCATTATCCTCCTATCAGAGGAAGACCTCCAAGTAAGCCTCCTCCACACCCCACACCACTGCTCATCCAGCTTCTGTAACCCCCAGCACCTTCTCAGCTTCCACACAGTTCACCTTAGTAATTTTGTGACTTCTTAATTCTTAATCATTCCTTTTTAGGGGTCAGCAGGTGGTGTGGTGTTAAGGGTACTAGACTTCCACATGGTGAACCGCAGTTCAAGTCCCAGACCTGGCAGCTTGCTTTCTCACTTTCTCTGTCCCTCTCTGGTCAAATTAAAATAAATAAATAAAATAAAATAAAATAAATAGAATAATTACTTAAAAAATAATAATTCATTTTAAAATTATTTCTTTATTTAAGTTTATTTGTTATTATTTTATATTATTATTTAATTTGACCAGAGAGCAAGCAAGAGAAGAGTAAAGTGAGAAAGCAAGCCGCCAGGTCCAGGACTCGAACTGCAGTCATCCATGTGGGAGTCCAGCACTTTAACCCTCACACCACCTGCCAACCCCCATAATAATTCTTTTTATTTTTTAAGCTTTTCTTTTCTTTTTAAATAATTTTTTAAAAACATTTATTTATTTGTTTTAATTTGATGGGGGTGGGGGGGAGAGAGAGAGAGAGAAAGTGAGAAAGCAAGCTGCCGGTTCCAGGACTCAAACTACAGTTGACCATGTGGGAGTCCAGTACCCTTAACCACCATGCCACCTTCTGGCCCCAACAATTCTTAAATTACAACTAAGATTCTTCATTTTATAATGAGTAATTACTACTCATATAAGAGTAGTAGTTTTTCTTTTTTTTTCTTAATGATAGCATGTGTGTGCACCCAGAAGACAGAGATGAATGGGAAAAGTACCTTCAGCAGGGTCTTGTCACACTGCAATCCCCTTTCCCACTCCTCCAGCTCCTTGAGATCTTGGGTGTTCACACATGACATCTAGTGTGGTTTCAGGACCTGAACCTACAGTTAGCCCGTGGCTTGTAGCCTCACAGAGCACTGCAATTTCACCACTAAGCTGCAGTAGCTGAGAGTGGTCATTTTCAACCCTACTGTGCATCAAGATCTGTGGATTTCTTAAAAATACAGACACCCAGATCCCACCCTAGACCCACTTAGGTAGACTCAGGGGGTCTGGGTGTCTGTAGAGGGGCCTGCAGGTGACATGTATCAAGGGTATTGGACTGTTAGAGGGGCCTGCAGGTGACATGTGTCAAGGGTATTGGACTCCCACATGGCCAACTGCAGTTCGAGTCCTGACCTGGCAGTTTCCTTTCTCACTTTCTCTTTCTCTCTCTCTCTGTCCCTCTCTGGTCAAATTAAGTAAATAAATAAAACTAAATAAAATTCTTTTTTTTTTTTAAAGTATGTATTGCTAGATGATGGTTGTACAATTCTTGTGAGCTCCTAAAACCTATTGAATTGTGGGGGAATTATATGATATGGGAACTGTATCTCAGTAAAGCTGTTGAACAAAATGGACATCAGGAAAGGTCTCAGCCATGTCCCTGGCACCCAGCTTTCCCTTCTGGAGACAACTGATCTATCAGTTTCCTGTTACAAAAATATTATCAATATATACAAACAAATATTAATATGCTTTTCACCCCCCGTTTTAACACAAATGGAGTCATGTCTACTCTGTTTTTAAAGAAAAACATTTGAGGAGCACACCATATCCATATATAAAGCACATCCTCATTCTTTTGTTTCCCACTGTTTGGTATTCCATTTCATATGGTGCCATGATTTATTTAACTAGAGCCACCCCAACTAATAGACATTTAGGTGTCATCAGTGTTGCTACTCTAGACAGTGCTGCAGAAACTTACGCTGTCATCTTGTATGCCCATGTATCTGTAGAATAAACTGGGACTATAGTTACTGAATTGAAAACTACATGCATTTGGTAAACACTGTCAAATACCCAAGAGGTGAATTAAACTGAGAGTTGCAGGACATGATGGAGTCTGCACAGGAAGTTTGGGTCAGAGTTCCAGGTAGAGGGAAGGCAGGAGCAACCTTAATTTCTTTCTTTCTTTCTTTCTTTCTTTCTTTCTTTCTTTCTTTCTTTCTTTCTTAAGAAAGAAAGGGACACAGGCAGTAGGAACACTGCTGCACAATGCTGGAAGCCATATGCGAAGGCTCCAGGTTCAGGTCCCAGGTCTACATGAAGTGCTACATGCTACCCACAAGCATACCTGTGACCTGGCTGGCTACAGGGCAGGGTAAGGGCTGTGACATGAAGACCATGTTGAGAGTACATGTCTGTCTGTCTCTGTCATGAAGGAAATAAATAAATAGACTTGAAGGGGAAAAAATATGAGAGTCAGGTGAAGTGACATGTGCCTGTAGTCCAATCTACTCTGAAAGACCCTGGACACTAAGGCAACAGGATCATGAGTTCAAGGTCAGCCTACCTCTAATTTAAAAAAAGAAAGAAAGAGGTTGTGAGGTTCCTTCCCATCTCAATAGACTAGCATATTATGATATACTCTTAGAACATGGAGCTCAACAGGTCTTACCAAAATAAGAATGTCAAAATATGAGTGAGAGACCAATAGGTGACATGGTGATTAAGGTGGTTGGATCCCACATGGCCAACTACACAGTTCCAGTCCCAGACCCAACTGCTTGAAAAACATGCCAGGCACATGTGTGTACATGCCCAGAATCTCAAGAGGAGAATGGAGGAGATGGGATTGCAGATTGGCCAAACCCCTCAGGGGTACTTCCTCACTTTCCCTCTTTCTGTCTCTGTCTCCAACAAGCACATGCACCGTATAGGGAAATTTAAAAAAAAAAAAAAAAAAAAAGTGAGTTTGTCCGCACTTACTCCCTAACAGTCAGGCTGCAGAGGGAAGCTTAGGAGGCACAAAGCATAAAGGTAAAGGACGACCCCTGCCAGGACTAATGGCTGAGAGCAGATGGGGAAGAGTGCAACGATCATTTGCATGTGGTTGCGAAGAGTTGAATTATGACTGTAATACTTAAGAATTACCTTGCCTCATTTTCCTCATCTGTAAAGTGAGAGTGAGACAAGTACCTACCTCACAAGGCTCATACCTCTTGAATTTTGAACTTTGTGAGTATATTAACTGTTAAAAAAATTGATGCAATAGACATTATAAAATTATTGTTACTAAAAAATCTTTTCCTCAGAGAGGTCTTTCTCAGCCTAGTAATTGAGAAATTCAAGCTCTCGTTATTGTAGCTTTTGTTAAGCTCCATGGCAATGCTGATGTACAGCCAACTTGAAAACTACTGTCTGAGAGAGTCAAAGAGACCTTTCTCTTAGAAGACTTTTTTTTAGAATTTTTAAAAGTTTAACTTTATACACTTATTTTAATTTGACCAGAAACGGGCAATGAGAGAGAGAGCAAGAGAGAAAGAGAAGGAAAGTGAGTAAGCCACCAGGTCCGGGACTTGAACCGCAATTGGCTATGTGGGAGTCCAGAGTCCTTAACCACCATACCACGTGCTAGCACTGAAGACAGTTTTTAATCTAGAGTTATACGGATGGTTCCCAACTTAACAGTGGTTCAACTTTTAATTTTTCTATTTTATGACAAGTTATTCTTTTTTTTTTTAAAGAGAGATTTTTTGCTACAGGGTGTGTGCACTTGCTGGAGAGACAGAGTGACAAGAAGCAAGAAATCACCCCCCAGAGGGTATAGTCACACCGCAATCTCTTGTCTTCCATTCTCCTCTTGGGATTTTGGGCTCGCACACACACACGACCTGTGTGAGTTTTAAGCCTGAGTTTGGGACTCAAACCACGGTCGACTCTGTGTGAGTCCATCAACATAACTGCTGGTCCCACAACAGGTTTATTGAGACATAACCCCATAATAAATCAAGAAGCTTATGTATATCCTAAAAGATTGAGCCAAAGGCATGGTGGTTAAAGCAGCTAGATCTCACATGGCCAGCTTCGCAATTCAAGTCCTCAACCTGATGGCTTGAAAACTATGCTGGGCACATGTACATGTGTGCCCAAATCCAGAAGTGTATAACATTTCTTTTTCCCACACAATTACCATGCATATCAGTCAAAACAAATAATTACCATACACATAAGCAGCAGCAAATGGCTTTCCTTTTTTTTTTCAGAATTTAATGATTGTTATTATTTTTAAATATTCAATCACTGTACATCGTTTGGCTTGTAAAGAGAATTTACCCAACATGAAATACTTCTCAGACCAGTCCAGTTGAGAATACTATACATGTTAACATTAACAGGTAATAAACCATTTCTATGCCCCACAGATGTCATGCCACTCTATTTTTTCTCCTGATTTCCTTCTCTGTACTCTTCCCTTCTCCCTGCCCCCTGTTCCACACTGTCTTCAGCGTCCATAACTATTTTCACTGCTTTTATGTCTTTTATGGTATTTTTTTCTCTTTTTATTTATTTTTTTTTTGAGAGGTTTTTGCTATAGGGCGCATGCGCTCGCCAGACAGAGAGAGAGAGACAGAGAGACAGACAGAAAGCGAGAAATCAAATCACAGGGGGGATGGTCACGCCGCAATCCCTTCTCCTCCATTCTCCTCTCAGGATCTTTGGCACGTGTGCACATGCGCCCGGCATGAGTTCTAAGCCACCGGGTCCAGGACGCGAACCGCGGTCGACTGTGGGAATCCAGCGACATAGCTATTGTGCTAACTGCTGGTTCCCCTTTTATGGTATTTTAATCTCTACCATAGAATGTGGATAGTTGGTATATATTAAGTGGAGACATACAATATCTTTCTTTCATAGCCCGACTTGCTTTACTCAGCAATGAATCTTACATATTTGACCACTTTCTATCAAATGTCAGGGTCTTGTTTTTTATGGCTGAATAATATTGCACAGAGTATATGTGTCATACTTTTTCAAGCCATTCATCATTTGTGGACATTTGGGTTGGTTTCATGTCTTATCAATCATGAATAATGCCAAAATAAAAATTGATGTGCAAGCACTTTTCCAACTGAGCATTCTCCTGTCCTTTGGGTAGATACCCAGAAGTGGTATTGCCGGCTCAAATTATAGTTCTATTTGTAGATCTTTGAGGAACCTCCATATTGTTTTCCACAGTGGCTGGACCAATTTACATTCCCACCAATAGTGTAGGAGAATATCCCTTTCACCACAACCCCGTCAACACCATTTCTTGTATTTTTAATCTTTGCCATTCTGACAGGGGTTAGGTAGTATCTTATGTGGTTCAAATCTGCATCTTCCTTATGATGAGGAATGTTGAGCATTTCCTTATATGCTTTTTGGCAGTTCATATGTCTTCCTTAGATTTTTGTTGAGTTCATTTTCCCATCTTTTAATTGGGTTAATCTTTTTTTTTTCCAGGTAGGCTGCTTGAGTTCCCTGTGTATTCTGAGGCATAGTTTACAAAAATATTCTCCCATTCTGAGGGTTGTCGATTCACACTTAATTACTGTGTCCTTTGCTGTGCAGAAACTTCTTAGTCTGATATAGTTCCACTTGTCTATTTTAGGGATTATTGCCTGTGCTTTGGGAATCTTATTTAAGAAGTCTTTGCCTATCCCAGTGTCTTCCAGTGATTTACACCAGTAGTAGTTTGTTTTGTTTTGTTTTTTTGTTTTTTGTTTTTCGTTTTTTTTTGAGAGGTGCTATAGGGCGCGTGTGCTCACCAGAAAGACAAGAGAGAGACAGAATGCGAAAAATCACCCCCCCAGGGGGGATGGCCATGCCGCAGTCCCTTCTCCATTCTCCTCTCAGGATCTTGGGTACGCATGCACACACGCCCGGCGTGAGTTTTAGCCACCAGGTCCGGGACTCAAACCGCAGTCGATTACATGGGAGTCCAGCAACATAGCCATTACGCCAACTGCTGGTCCCAACCACCGGTTACATTTTTAAAATAGCATCTTTTAAAGCTATGAATGTGTATAATAAGAAATATTGATCAGTAGGGAAGGAGATTGGGAAAAATAGGCAAGACATTTGTGGGATTCAGTAATGTTTCTATTACCTGTTAATAACAACATGGATAGTATTCTCAACTGGACTGGTCTGTGTATTTCATGTTGGATGAATTCTCTTTGCAAGCCAAATGATGTATAGCAATCAAATGTATAAAAAATAGTAAGATTTGGGGGCTGGCAGATGGCATGGTGGTTAAGGACACTGGACTCCTACACAGCCGACCATCGTTCAGTTCCCAGACCTGGCAGCTTCTTGTCTCACTTTCCCTATCCCTCTCTCTCTCTCACGCACTCTTGCTCTGTGTCTCTCTCTGGTCAAAGTAAAAATAAGCAAATAAATGGGACCAGCAGTTAGAATAATGGCTATGTCGCTGGACTCCCATGAAGTCGATCACGGTTTGAGCCCTGGACCTGATGGCTTAAACTCATGCCGGGTACGTGTGCATGCGTACCAGGGTCCCAAGAGGAGAATGGAAGAGAAGGGATTGCGGAGTGGTCATTCCCCCAGGGAACGATTTCTCGCTTTCTGTCTTCTCTGTCTCTCTCTGTCTTTCTGGTGAGCACACGCCCTATAGCAAAAACCTCTCCAAATAAATAAATAAAGTAAAATAATAATTACTTTTTAAAAATATATAATAATTAAATTAAATTTGGGGCTGACAGGTGGCATGGTGGATGGGGGTGCTGGACTCCCACTTGGCTGACTGTGGTTCGAGTACTGGACCTGGTGGCTTGCTCTCTCTCTCTCTCTCTCTCTGTCTCTCTCTCTCTGTATATATCTTGCTCTGGTCAAATTGAAAATAACTATATTGATAAATAAAATAAATAATTTTTAAAATTAAATTTTTAAAAAATGTTAATCATTAGAGGAATTTTACCTTAAAATAATTTTACTGATTTATTAGGTCACTAGGAAGTTCACGATGTATTTTTGTGTCATGACTGTTCCAACAACCCAACATATAAATGATCATACACCTCCTTTATGTTCTTTTATCATTTTTTAAGAATTATTTAATTTTATTCACTATTATTGTTATTATTTCTTTTCACACTTACCAGAAAGAGACAAAGAGAAAGTGAGAAACCAAGCCGCAAGGTCCGGGACTCAAACCACAGTTGGCCATGTGGAATTCTAGCACCTTAATGATTATGCCACCTGCTGGCCCCTCCTTCACGTTCTTTACAGTTGAGTTTTTAAATGTTGGGGTTTGGTTTTGTTTTAGATGGTAGATCAGGATCCTCCTGCCTCCTGCCTCAGCCTCCCAAGTGGCTAAACATAAGCCACCATGTCAGCTTCTACCTTTGGCCAGGAATTGAACCTGGGCCTCACATGTGGCCTCAGCCTGCTGAGTAGCTGTGTCTACCAGCATCTGCTACTAAATCTGGCCCCTATTTTGTTTTTAATGAAGCACCAAGGCATCATTTTCTTTATTTTTGAAATTTTGTCAGAGGGCACATGAACTCACTAGAGAGAGAGAAGGTGAGAAAGCACCTCCCCATGAGAAATGATTACTCTGCATTCCCTTCTTCTCCTCCTCTCCCTCCTTTTGGGATTTTGGGCATGCATGTACAGGTGTCCAACATGTTTTTCAAACCACTAGCCAGCCACCACGGTATCCAAACACCTTAACCACCATGCCACTAGCTAGCCCTATTTTTCCAGATTTTTACACTAGAAGCAAACTGGAGAAACCACATGCCTCCCTCTTGACTCTCAGCTAACCACAGTAGGTAACTCTTGGAAATGGATGAAGTTCTAAAATTAATATATTCAAAAGATATAATACCATGTTCGGAAATTACTTTCCTATTTCTTAGCATCCCTATGTGTTTATTAGGTGCTCATTGATGTTCCGTGTCCCGACCTGGCTCAGGAACTATGCCAGAGTTGTGCCACTGTCCAGGGGCTCCAGAACACACTCCAGCAAGTGCTTGACCAGAGAGAAGAAGCCCGTCAGTCCAAGCAACTCCTGCAGCTTTATCTCCAGGCTTTGAAGGAGGAGGAAAGCATCTTTTCAAAGCAGAAAGGTATGGACCAGCAGTTAGCATAATGGCTATGTTGCTGGACTCCCACGCGGTTCAAGTCCCGGACCCGGTGTCTTAAACTCATGCCAGGCGTGTGTGCATGCATGCCCAAGATCCCAAGAGGAGAATGGAGGAGAAGGGAAGAAAGGTAGGACTTCTGCTGGGGAATTACTCTGAGAAGTGCATGTGTTCAGTGTAGCCAGAAACACGGGCCACAGCTGGTGGAATCTTGGAATGACATGTTTCTCCCTTGCCTTCCGATCACCCTCACTGGCTGGTTGTATGGCTGTATCACACAGCATACTGATCTCTATCTCACATCTGCTTCGCAGAGCCCAAAGCTGCCCTTAATGAAGACGTGGATGCAGTTGACATGGGTGTCAGCGGAGAGATCTCCAAAACTGCACTTACGAGCCGGATCCTAACTGCACTGAAGGAGAAGCCTGCTCCCGAGCTGAGTTTGTCTAGTCAGGATTTAGAGGTGGGCGAGGATGAAGGACATTGAGCTGCAGAGAATGACTTGTCCTGGAGAGCTAGTTTCACGTGCAGAGGCATGTATGGGATTTTTTTCACCTCTGCAGACCCTGAGTCAGAGCTGCCAATTTGCCTATTATATGCCAAAGCATTTACAAAACTTATTTAATCTAAATCAAAATGGTTCTTTTAAAAACAGGTGCCCTTCCTTAGATCATCAAATATCATTCTCTGGTCTAAGGTCAGTAATGAATGACTAAACGTGACAGGGAGGATAGTGGGGCTCAGTCTCCTAGTGGCGTCTAGTTCTGCTGGTGGTTGATGAAGATGCACAGTCAATCCTGAGACCTATAAAATATTACGTGGAAAAGCAAACCTGAGAGGATCATCTCAGGCTGGCTGAGACCAGGGAACTAGACGCTTGATGAAGAGAACCCATGCAGACGAGTGCTACTTCAAATTTTTTGTTCTTGTCCCTGTCCCAAATGCCTCCCTATTGTGGGTAGAAGGGAAGGAAACTGTTAAACTTGGCTCAATTCCCTGTAAGTAGAGGATTTTAGAGCTGCCCCAAGTAACCTTCCTCCCAAAGAACCTTTCCTGTTAGCATTGGATAGTAAGAAAAGACACATGACAATTTACTGTGAAAGAAACTTGGCATTTTTGGTGTAGATAGAATGTGAACTGACATTGCTGAATCTCACCCCCAAAGCAGCTCAGGACAGCAGCAGAGGAGGAATACAGAAGTAGTGGTTCTCAATGGTTCTTATTCTTGCTGCAGTTGGTTACCAAGGAAGACCCCAAAGCACTGGCTGGTGTTTTGAACTGGGACATGAAGAAGACGGACGCTGCCCAGCAGGCCTGTAACCAGGAACTTGCCCTGCGCCTGCAGCAGATGCAGAGCTTGCGTTCTCTCAGGAATCTTTCCACAAGGAAGACCTCACTGCCTAGAGAAATGCAGAACCCTAAACGGGCCAAACAGGACCCCACATAACAGCCAGAAATATGCCAAGGAAAATCCCCCAGCCTTGGTTTTGTGATCAGTAAATACCTTTACCCTGACCATTTCACTAGCCCTGACCTCAGAGCATGTTTTCCTGAATAGGGTGGAAGGCTGGCTGTATGTGCCCTCCGGAAAAGGGCCTCCCAGTCTCAGCATATGCCCTTCCACGTGTGTTGAATAATGTAGCTGCACCATTGGTAGCCTACCTCCTCCAATTACATGCCCTTGTGTTCTCTGTTCAAATGGGGAAGAGCAGTGACACAAAGTTGTCATCTCTGAGATTTATTGTCCCTTTTTTTTCCCCTCTAATTTTGCTAGGGAGCCTGTGCTCACCAGAGAAAGACTGAGAGAGAAGGAATTGTGGAGGATGGTCACGCCATAATCCCTTCTCCTCCATCCCTCCCTTCTCTCAGGATTTTGGGCATGCATGCACACATGCCTGGTGTGTTTTTCAAGCTGGCAGGTCCAGAACTCAAACCATACACGCAGTCAGCCATGTGGAATCCAGCTGCCTGAACCTCCACCCCACTAGCTGCCTTACTGTCTTTTTCCTAAAATGGGACTGCAGAATTTTCAACACAAATGATAGTAGGGAATGTGACGTGAGTGTTGATTATGGCCACAAACTTATATCTCAAGTTAATTAATTTTTTTGTTTGTTTAAGGCACATACTAAGTTCGCGGACCACAGGGACATACTGAATCTAACTCACCATTTCTAATATCTAATTTTGTATTGTGAAATTATATCTTACCACTGCGAAATTCTTTTCAGTTTTCTAATATGTTTGATCAGCAGGGGGTATGAAAGGTCGTTAAGGCAGTTTCCACGTGCTATGACTCCAAGTCTCTGGGTGTGGATAGAATGTGAACTGACATTGCTGAATCTCACCCCCAAAGCAGCTCAGGACAGCAGCAGAGGAGGAATACAGAGGCACTTCTGGTTTATATACCTCTTGTTTCCGTACAAACTTGTTCTGCAGGTTTTGTAATCTACAATACGGTCTCCTTGCAGGGAAATGATGATTAGTTCATATTGACTGGCTTGACTTTTTTTAAGCATGCTTAGATGAAAATAGAATGCTATTAAGAGATACGCTGGCTAGTTATCAAGTAAACAAATATAACAATAAAGGTGTGGTGCAGAAAGCAATTAAACAACAGACAGAACTGTTTCCTTCTATGATCCTCAAGGAGTGCTTCGCTCTATTCAGCATCCTTTTACTAATGCCTTACTCCATTGGTTCTCACTTGTTAGTTCCTTTTTTATACCTTATTTTGTAATGCCTCCTTAATTAGCCTTAATAAAAGCCACAGCTGATAACCTACCTACACTCATCCTTTCTTTTTTTTTCTTGGAGAGGTTTTTGCTATCAGGCACGTGCACTCGCCAGAAAGACAGAGAGAGACAGAAAGTGAGAAATCACCCCCCCAGGCGGGATGGCCACGCCACAGTTCCTTCTCCATTCTCCTCTCAGGATCCTGGGCATGCACGCACACGTACCCGGTGTAAGTTTAAGCCACCGGGTCTGGGACTTGAATTGCGGTTGACTACATGGGAGTATAGCAACATAGCCTTTGCGCCAACTGCTGGTCCCCCTACACTCCTTTAAAAAACATTGATATCCCAATACCATATTTCAGGAAAACAATTTCCAATAAAATGGCATGAATGTCACCATTTGGACATGACCAAAGGCACACTGAAACTGTACTTCACTTACACAGTGAATTACCATGAATTTGAAAGAGGTAGACTGGAGTGTGGTTGTCAACTTAAATACAGGCAGCGTTGCCCTTGGTAATAAGATTTCCCAAAACAGTGAAGTTCTGAATAAAATACCTATTCTTTGATTTACACAATAGCTACAGTTCTAGAGAATCCAGGGAACAATAAAACTGCACAAAATAACTTTGTATATAAAACAGAATTAGGTTTGGCTAAGATACCCTGAATAGGTTTGTTATCCATATGAATATCTAGCATGATATTCTAAGATCCAGTCCTGTGCATCTGCAAGAAAACTAGCATCTCACCCCCAACCACTCAATGCCATCACAACCTTCAGTTGTCGAGACAACCAAGAACATCCCTACATTTCCAAAGTGCCTATAGAGGGGCACTAATCCTCATCAAGAATTTTTCTAGCAGGTCTCAGTCTGCTGTGTGCTAGCATTTAACACACTAGAACTTCACAAAACTGAGCTAGGTAGGGCATGGCTTGTCCTCCTTCATTTTATATAGGAGCAAAGTTGGGCTTCAGCAAGGTTCAGTGACTTGCCTCTTCACAAGGCCCATTGGAAGGCCAAGTTTCAAAGGCAGGTCTCCTGGATCTAATTTTAGCAGTCTTTACACTCATCTGTGTTTTCTTTTAGGTACACACATTCTTTTCTATTCTACAGACCACTGGGTTTTTTTGTTGTTGTTGTTGTTGTTTTGTTTTGTTTTTTTGAGAGGTTTTTGCTATAGAGCGTGTGGGCTCGCCAGAAAGACAGAGACAGAGAGATAGAAAGCGAGAAATCACCCCCCCAGGGGGAATGGTCATGCCACAATTCCTTCTCCTCCATTGTCCTCTCGGGATCTTGGGCATGCACACACACGCGCCCGGCGTGAGTTTAAGCCACTGGGTCCGGGACTCGAACCACGGTCGACTACATGGGAGTCCAGCGATGCAGCCATTACACTAACTGCTGGTCCTAACCACTGGTTTTCTTAACACCACTGTGAAAAGTTGTAGCCAGCTCCAACTGAGATAGGCCTAATATGCCTGTAACATAACTGTCAAAACATTTCTACCTGCGGTCGTTGTTCTGGTAGTATCGGAACAGTAAATGAGCCTCAGTGAACACTAGTAAACCGGGTTCCAGAAACAGAGAATGATGTTGCTCTTTACCAACTAGGGTGACACCTCCATCGTTGCCCTTCAGAATTAAAAATATTTTATTTGTCAGATACACAGTAGAGGGCTAGCCCACAGCGTGGTGGTTAAAGTGGTTGGATTCCACATGGGCAACGGGGCATTTCAAGTCCCAGACCCAGTAGCTTGAAAACTAGGCCAGGCGCGTGTACACACATACCCAAAATCCCAAAAGGAGGGAGAAATGGAGAAGGGATTGTGGTATGACTGTTCCCCATTGGGGATGCTTTCTCACTTTTTCTTCTCTCTCTCAAGCAAACACACATGCCCTATGGCAAATTTTTTTTTTTAAGGTTTTTGCCTTAGGCATATGAGCTTGCCAGAGAAAGAGGAAAAGCAAGAAATCACTCCCCAAAGAGGATGGCCACATCACAATCCCTTCTCCTCTCAGGATTTGGGGCATGCATGCACAAACACTCAGCATGATTTTCAAGCCACTAGGTCCAGGACTCAAACCATGGTCAGCCATGTGAGAGTCCAACATCTTAATCACTATGCCACCTGCTGGCTCCTCTGGCAAAAATAAAATAGATAACAGTAGAGTTTTAGTTGACTGGTCTGATTGTTGGTGTTGGTATTCTGGACTTGATAGGACGGTACTACAGGCTGTGGAGAGACAAACCTGTGTCCAGTTTTACCTCCCAGGTCCTTACGGCCCAAGGCCAAGGTTGAAAAGGTTAAATGAAGTACTATATGAGTAAGCACTGTACCGAGCACATAGCAGACAGAGAAGAGTGGCTCCCTTTCATTTCGCAGCGGCAGAGGTGGGGTGGGGAGGCAGACTTGGCCTTGTGAAGAGGCAAGTCACTGATCCTCGCTAAAGCCCAACTTTGCTCCTGCCTCCCCACCCCACCTCTGCTGCCGGGAAATGAAAGGGAGCCACTCTTCACCTCTGGGGTGGGGAGGCAAAGCCCTTAGTCTGCAAACTCCAGCACTAATGCGTAGTAAGAGCAGTTACAAATACACGCTATTGCCCCTGGTACCGTTTACCTCCCCTACACCACTGTGCCTCCAAGCCTTCTAGAATAGAAATGAAGCAGCACAGCCGTCTGTCTAAAAATAGAGAGCGAGCAGGGCCTGCCTGTTCTTACAGGAGGAGGAAAGGACGTCAAAGGAGGCAGCTGGGACTAATAAACTCTACATTAGCCACATTCCGTTCTTTCAACTCAAGGCAAATGTCGGGCCCCATTAGGCAATTGGCTTTGACAGGAGCTCTGCTAATTACCACTTAACCAACCTTTAATTTCTGGGTAAAAGAAAAGGAAAAGCTAATGGATTTTTCATTTTCCAGAGAGAAAGGAATAAAATAGTAGTCTGCCCCCAAAAAATCCAAATTGCATTAATTACAAGAGTTTATTAATGTGCCTTTACTAACCAGATTGTTTAGCTATTTAATTTCCTAATTATTCTATTCTTTTAATGCCTTTGGGATTGTCTCCATTTTTTTTTTAATTTGCCAGAGGGCACATGCACTTACCAAAGACAGGGAAGGCAAGAAAGCATCCCCCCACAAGAAGTGGTCATGCTAAAATCCCTCCCATTTCTCCCTCCTTTCAGGATTCAGGCGGGTGTGCAGACGCCCAGCATCTTTTTCAAGCCTCTGGCTCTGGAACTCAGACCATGCTGCTGACCATGTGGAATCCAGCTGCTTTAACCACCAGGCCACAAGCTGGCCCTTTTTTTCTTTATTCATGAGACAGTATGTACCTGTACACATGAGGGAGAGAAAGAGAAGGGAACACCCTCCAAAGGACCTGGTCACGCCAGGTGTCCCCCTGCCTCCAGTCCTCCACCTCATGAGGTCTTGGACACTTGCACATGTGCCCAGCACTGCCTCAGGCAGACTGCCCAGGATTTGAACCACTGTGAGACCCAGCTCCTCTTGAGCAGTTCCTTACTGCACCACAGAGCCAGCCCCCCGTTTTATTTTCATTGTAGAGTTCTGCCTTATTTTGGCTGTATCTCATACTACGTCAGGGTTTTTATTTTAGTTTATGTCTTCCCTGAGAGACAGGCACCTCCAACAGGGTCTTCCTGCTACAGTCCTCCCCGCTGGACTCAGCCAGCCAGGATCACAGGCACATACGCGTTGCCCCCGAAGTGTACGGGCAGGCCTGGGAACTTGTACCTGGATCTGTCCTGTGCGGTCTCAGCCTCATGAAGTGGTGTGTTACCACTGTACCACCTTAGCTGACCTACATGAGGTTTTTAAAAACCTTCTAGATGATCACGTAGCCTGCATCCGCATCTGCTGCCTAAGTCCTCTACACAGCTCTGACTGGAGGCCTGCCGTCCTGCTTGAAAACCTCGGTGAGGGGAACAGGCTCACTCCTCAGGAGCTATACCGCATTTTCAGACTGCAGAACCTTGTTAGAGTTTGTCCCCCAAAGCTTCATGTTTTGGAATTTGATGTTGGGAGTGGTGAGGTTCAATGGGGCCTCACAAATAATCATGTCTCTTGAGACCCAGTGAATTCTAGTTCTTGTGAGGAATTAGTTCTGAGAGCTGGTTGCTAAAAACACAGCTGCCTACTGCTATCTCCGCATTGCCAGTCAGTCTCTGTGCTTCCATCGCCAATACTGCAGGCCAACCCCTATGCCTTTGGACTTTCTAGACACCAGAACTGTGAGAATAAACCTCGATTGGGCCGGTCCTGTACCTTGGGGGTCAAGGGAGCCAGGTTCCACGTGACCAACCACAGTTCAAGTCCTGGCCCCAGCAGCTTGAAAAACACTCTGGGTACACGTGCATGCATGCCCCACATCACAAGGTGGAAACATAGAGAAGGGATTGTGGCAAAACCACGCCCCATTGGGGGTTGCTTTCTTCCTCTTCTCCCTTGCCCTTGTCTCTCTGGCAAGCACACACCCTCTGGCAATATAAAAATGCAAAATGGGGACTGGTGCCATAGCACACCAGTTAAGCCTTTGTGGAGAAGCAAGATCCCACATGGCCAACCACAATCTGAATCCCAGCCCCAGGGGCTTGAAAACACACCAGATGCCTATGCGCATATGCCCAGTGAGGAAAGGGAGTTTTCGCATGACCAAGATGGGGGAGGGGGGACTCTCTTTTCCTCTCTGTCTCTCACACAACACACATGCACCCTCTGGTATTAAAAAAATTAAAATGCAGGAACCAGCAGTTAGCGTAATGGCTGTCGCTGGGCTCCCATGTAGTCGACCACGGTTCGAGTCCTGGACCCAGTGGCTTAAAACTCACGCTGGGCACATGTGCGCGCGTGCCCAAGATCCTGAGAGGAGGATGGAGGAGAAGGGATTGCGGCATGGCTATCCCCCCCTGGGGGGGGGGTGATTTCTCACTTTCTATCTCTCTGTCTCTGTCTGTCTGGCGAGTGCCCGCACCCAAAGGCAAAAACCTCTCCAAAAAAAAAAAAATGCAAAATGTGC